GGAGAGAGAAAGAAAGAGAGAGAGAGGAGAGGAGAGCAGAGGAGAGCAGAGGATAGACGCAGGTAGCTGCAATCCAATTTAGCGGCGGATATCCACGCGAGATCTTTACGATTTCTACCCACGAATAAGACAGGGCCCACTTACCGTGAAATCATATGCAGTGTCCAGTCACGGATGCCATTGCCGCCGCCGTCTCCTCCTTCTCCTCCTCCTTTTCCTTCCTCCTCCCTCCCTCCTCCCTCCCTCCCTTCTCTTCCTTCGCCATCGCGTCGATTGCCGCCAGCCACCGTCGCTTCTTTCGCGGTGAAAACCAAACTGCGTCGTACTTCGCGCCAGCAACCGCGTTGCCAGATGGCACCACAAACTGGAACGATCTGCCGAGTCGAATCCGGCTGATGCACCACTATTCCTTCACTATAATCAGGCATCGTTTGTTTAATAAATTAACGTTTCTATAAATTTTCTCCTAAATTGTTTATTCTTAAATTATAAAAAAAATTTCTGATCAAAATTGCATAACAAATTTTTTAAAGTAATTATTATAAATAATTTTGTGCCGAATTCGTTGAAATAATTTTTTTTCAAATAGTTCGTCTTCCTTTTAATACTTTATTAACGATTAGGAATAACAGTCTCGTTATCAATTAATGACTAATATAAAGTAAACAATATACAGGGAATTGCGTGAACGACGCGAGAATTACGCGAATCGTATGCGCGAAACATGAGGTTTGAGGGAAACGTAATGAGCGAGCGAGTAAAACGAGGTTTATCTTACTTCTCCGGCTCTCGTAATTATCCATTATGCAATAACGTGGTAATGATTCGCGTCTTATTCTTAACGCCTTCTTTATTCCCGGGTGCCAGCCACCAAAGTTCCCAGGATCGCGCGTCGCGTTTTCGTTTCGAGGCACTCTCAGACACACGTTGTTATTTAAATTAACTATGACTATTCGAATTTAATTAGAGGCATCCTTGAGCTTTTCTAAACAATAGAAGCAACTTCGAATATGCGTCGCGCATTCCGCATCGTAATTGTCATATTTATCTTGCGAAGTTTTGATTAACAATCTGTAATTATGTAGGAGACGAAAATTTTTAAAATATTACTAATAATTAGAAATTATTTACTTTTCAAATAAAAATTTTCAAATGCTATAAATTGAATGCTTAATAAATTGAATATTTCTCTCTCGTGCGCGCAATCGCGATAATTGAATGCATCAGGTACGATATTGAAACTTTTAGATTTAATTACATAGCATTTTTATGATTTGAATGCCGTTTACGAACCGGATAATTTTTAATCCGTAAAATAGACTAACATTATAGACTTAAATGTTAATTCTTTTTATTAAAGCAAAACACACAGAGGTCGGAAAAAACTTTTCTAATTTTAATGCGGAACTTATTAATTTTATTATACATACTTTCGCCACAATGTTACCGACCTCGCCCACACTCATTTCGCGTCTCATCGGACACGCGGGAGCACACGGAACGGCGAAATTCCACGCCGCGGAATTCGGAGGAGGTGGCGAAGGAGCGATGGGAGGGAAGGTCGAGCGTTGTCGGAGCGGCGGGCCTCATTCGCGTGCGGGATTAAAATTCGAGTCCCACGGTACACGGTAGTCTTGCGTTCTCAGACACGACCGTTCGGGTCCTTTCACGTAAGGATGAGAGAGGCGCGTTTAAGCGCTTCGCGGAACCCTTTTTTTTAATTCCTCCCCCCCCCCTTCCCCCTCTGCCCCCGAACGTCACGCACGTGTGTATGGCGCGGACGTGGCAAAACGATGACGCGCACATCGTCAAATCTTTCGTGAAGTAGCGGATCTATAGGAGAAAACATCCTCCGTCTTCGAAAGATCCACCTCTCGAGGGTCGATAGCTACAGCAAGTGATGAACGTGTAAAGTAGAACATTGTAATGTAAACCCAGTAATATTTTTTCCAGATAATACAAAATCCAAAATTAGGAATCAAGACGTCTTTAAGATTTTTTGCAAAAATATCTTTAATTTGGTTTTGGACTTGTGTCATCTCTGAAAAGATCACGTGTTTTCTTTTTCCTTCTAATTTCGAAATTTATTGTTGATATTGTATGCTTATCGTTAATGGATAGCAAGTTGGAAGCAAAAATCGTAATTTCTACTAGATAAAATTTCATTTAACGCGATAAATGTGCAAGAGAAAAAATTGACTCTGCGCAAAACGAAAGTGTCTTCCTATCAGAGAAATTCCGAGTTTGACAGGTGCAGAATCTCCCGTAAATCGCAACGAAATTACTAATGGAATCGAATTGCAGGATTTTGCATCACGAGTTCAATAGCGAATCGGCAATTTACGTAACTTTCAATAAAACCGAGATACCGTTGCGACATAGGATTTTGTCGCCCGGTGATCGATGGATGAGAAAATGAATGACGCGCGCAAAACAGCGGCGTGGCGAATTCCCGCGCATCGTATCACAATGCGCGTAAAAATGTTTAAATTGAGCGGTGAGACGAGGAGACGAGGGAGGAGGACGCATCATCGCCGAGAGCAACTGGGGAAAACGACGTCGTCGCGCACTTGCGAACACGTGAGAAACGGTGTGACATTACTCGCGTCACATCAGACGATAATCTATGCGATCTCCTAAGAAGAAATGATGTGCGGCATACGCGACGATCACAGCTGTCGCCGCCACGTGAAGTTTGAATTACCGTCGGCGCGAATAAAAATCGGAAAATTACACTTTGTACACGTAGCGGTACGTTACGAGCGTTATTCATTGTCTTTCTATCCATATGCTTTCAATTATCGGCGGCTATGTGTTTGTTTCAGTATCGTCAATCGTTTTCCACACACAAGCTCGTCGTTTAACATTCTTGCCGAGAATTCATTTTTGCACACCTTAATGCACGTGCGTGCGTGTCTCGCTCTAAATTGAATTCCTCTTTTAGATATCTCTCGTTCGTAGCGTGACGAGCTAACAGAATTACTCATTAGCCGATCCGTCACTAATTTCTGTCTAATATATATTGGAATATTTTGCAAACACCTCCTGATTTATCGAGGTAACCGTTCGACCGACTTGCTACTCCATCCTCTCAGAGATTCTTCGATCAATTTAGATGCCGTGTGTCTTCTTTTTCTCACTAAACGGCCACACGGTCCCAGATATACATATATACAAAATCGTATATACAATTTCCGTCCTTATACAATTTATACAGATACTGTTTACTTTACAAAAAAAAAAGAAGAGGAAACGCTCTACAAACAGCTCAGCGAGACCGAGGTGCCAGTCGAATACCATGACAGCGCCGAATCCATTCTATCAGAGAGAACAAAAACTTCGTGGCAGCGCCTATTATATCTGCCGGCGTGATCGTCGGCAATTCGCCCGACATTCTTTATTTTTGCGGTTGCCCGAAAAATAACGACGTCGTTCCCGCGATCGAATCCGGAGTGGCGGGCCGGCGGTCACACGGCGATGTCCGCCGGCGCGAGTCTCTCTCTCTCTCTCTCTCTCTCTCTCTCATTCCTGATTTGTGCGTGCGATTATATATACGATGGCGCGTGCGCGTGCTTGAAGAAATATACAACGGGACGCGAGCGCGAAAAGCGTCGCGGCGCTGGGCGTCCTGCGTTACGTCGAGCTCCGTCGGAATGCGTAAATATACAAGCCGCCGTGAGGGAGGAGAGAGAGAGAGAGGGACAAACTTGCGCTCTATACGCGGCCACCCTGAATTTATAAGAAGCCGTGACTCCACACACGCGGGCGCGATACGTGACGTCCGTGTGGGACGTCGAAAGCGGTATCGCCAGATTTAATGTTCCCCGCGGCAGGATGCGTATCTCAGCGCGAGAGCCGGAGAGACGAAAAGTTTGACCTTTGTCAAGTAACACGAAGCTCACAGTCGCGACGGAGAAACGAGGAACATCCGGTTTTGCGTGATGTTATCCAACGGGAACAAAAGAACGAACCCCGACCGAAGTGGCATCTTTACAAGAAGAGCTTTATACATATTCTTAAATGGAATTACCGTGTATTTCCGTAATTTTCAATAGATAACTATGTTTTTTTTTTCCTCCCGAGCATTATCTTCGCACTACGCAAGTTCCCTATTTAGTTTCCGCGACGTGAAACAAATTGATTCCGAGATTGACTGGAATTTGCCGCGAGATCAGATTATTCATATTACTGAGGCTTTTCGCGGAGCGTAATGACAAATCGCTAAAACTCGATCTGCAAAAAGCGGATCGTTAATAGTAGATACGCGAGAGGAAGACAGATCGAGAGTATGTATACATATCCACCGGGATGCAAGGTTAAATCCTTAACGCGTTTAAGTGCAATCTCGCTTGGCTAACAGGCGAAGCAGAACTAATTACCCGCTACATTAAGCGTCATCAATCAAAGCTTTTTATTTATCAGCCGTTTTTTTGCACATTCCATTTCATAAAAGTAACGGAACGCGAACGGGACGCGTGACCTTCTGCGGTTGACAATGTAGGAAGCGTTTTTTTATTTTCTTTTTTTTTTTTTACCACAATACGCATAATTACGATCGAATAAGGATAAACGTTCCCCCGTCCACCATCGGCTGTGCGAATTGATCGACGATATCGCGCGTTTTTTATCGCGTGATTTGCGCATTTACGTAATTTCCCGCATAGGCTAAACAGAGTGTAATCATGAACACTGACGGTTTACGAACGCCGCGAAGAATGTCGTAGAGAACCGCCTCGGAAAAAAATTCTTTGTCCTTTGTTTCATCACTCTGTCATATTACAACATTATTACATAAGCTTTAAAAATTCGTATCGTAATGTATTCTTAATTCTCATTGATTTTCTTTTCCTATAAGCGATGAGTATAATGTATACAACGTAATTTTCATTAGCACAATTTTTTAAATAGAGAAGTCACCGCGTGTCAATGACTATTTCGACGCGCAATGTGTTGATGTTCTTTGAGTTTCAAGGGACAATCCTCTTGTCTTCTGTTCGCAGGACTCGCAGAACGGCCCGGTGCTGGACCGATGGAGTATCTGCTCGGCTGAGGAGGAGCCGCTGGTTCTGCAGCAGTTCCTCAGGTTCGCCGAGACGCGTCCGTTCGTGCAGCAGCTGCTGCTGGCCGCCGGAACGCCGGGTACGGATGCTATGTCACCGAGCAGACGACCTTCGCCACCGACGATGCCACTAGCACATTTGCCACCTCCATTGCACATGCTTCATTGTGGTCTGCCGCCACCCGGCACTCGGCTGCCACCCCCGCTACCACCACCTCCGCCGCCGCCGCCGTCGTCGTCGTCGATTTCTCATCCCTCGATGTCGCCAACGGCGCAAAAGCACTATTCCTCGGCGGCGAATCCCACTGGTGGTGTCAGTAGAGCAAATTCACCGCCGCGTTCCCTGGATTCGCATCTGACGTCTCCATTGAATCGACTGCAGAGCATGCAGCCCTTCGACTTTCGGAAATTAGGCACCCTCGGACTGCCGGGGTTTCCGCCATTGCCGCCGCCGCCGCCATCCGCGGAACAACTTCTGCAAAATCGGAAATCCATGAGAAATCCACAGAGCCCTCATAGTCCACCACATCACTCATCCGCAACGCAACTGCAAAGGCCACATGTGCCCGTCGCACCGGTTTCCTCGTCAGCGTTGACCTTTGGTCATCCGCTTTCCGTCGCGGTTTCCTCCGGAGCGTTACCACCGAGTTTCCCGACGCACTTTCCGCCACCCGCGATGGGTAAATCGCCCGGCAGTATCGGTGGACTCACTGTACCCGCGGACGTGCATAGCGGCGGTGAGAAGAGCAGCGAGTTCGGCTCGGAAGAGGATGAAGACGATGAGGAAAACTCCGACAGCGCGTTGAACCTCAGCCGACGAGACGCTGCTGTAGCAAAGCATGCGATTTCCTCCGAGCAACGGCATCACCCGCCGTTACCGCTTCAGGCGACGCCATTGGGCAGGCCACCCGGTATACCTGGCAGAAAACCGCATTCGCCAGGCAAGCGACCGGGCAGTCAGTGGGGAGCCGCTGCGAACATGCCGCCAAATCTCGGCACACCTTTCATCAATCCCACCACCGGCAAGAAGCGTGTGCAGTGTAACGTCTGTCTGAAGACCTTCTGCGATAAAGGTGCGCTGAAGATTCATTTCAGCGCGGTGCATCTGCGCGAGATGCATCAGTGCACCGTGAAAGGCTGCAGTATGATGTTCAGTTCGCGCAGGTCGCGCAACCGACACAGCGCAAATCCGAATCCGAAACTGCATTCGCCACATTTGCGACGCAAGATCTCTCCGCACGACGGCCGCTCGTCCATGGCGCATGCTCTGGTGCTACCGCCGCAGGTGGGACTCCCGGTACCTGCTACCGGACTGAATCACCTGCCTTTTGGCTCATTTCCGTTGCTCACGCCGCCACCGGATCTTCGTTCGCCAGCATCGCTGTGCGCATTGGACTTTAAACACCTGGACCTGTCATCTACGCAGGCAGGTCAAGGTAGACCGTATGATGAAGCACTGCAACAGAGAATGTCAACGGGCACAGGTCTGTCGACAACCACAGCCTCAACAACGATGCCGGTGCCAATGTCGAGCGTCGCAGTGACCACGACCACGACGACGGCGCGAGGTTCGTATTCTGGTGGTGGCACATCTATCAGCGCGGTCTCGCCGTCCACTCAGGCATCATCCGTGATACCCGAGGGTGAGGAGGACGAGGACGACGACGATGGCGGTATCGTTGTAGTCGCGGAGGATGAGATCAGCAATTTGCCGTCGAGATTGCAGCCGCTGCGTGCTGATGACGACGAGCAGCCAGCCGACTTTAGTCTGGCGAAACGGCCGAAACTCTACTTTGGCGACACCGTCGACGAAGACCTTGCTAGCAATCCCGACAGTAATGAGGACAATGATTCCATGGGCACAGTGGATCAGCAACCCTTCTCCGTGAACCAGCACTCACTCAATTCGAGTTCCTTTCATAGCCGAGGCGTGCGCAAAAGGAAATCTCAACATCCCACGAGGTGCGCTATACCAGCGGAAGTGCATTCTTCGTCTACCGACGGTGATTCCTCCAATGACGAAGAACAACGAATCCAACGACGATGTTTATCGGATGGCGTCGTCGCGCCGACGCCGATGACGGAGTTTCAGAATCAGCCGGAGGATATGTCAATGTCCAGGCTTGAGGCGGAGGACCGAAAGATATTCCCCGGCTCGCCGAGAAACCAAAAGGGTGGCTTTCACGATCGCGAATCAGATTCGCGTTCTCCAGATGCCGGCAATCCGGAGCGTGAGGCGACGACAGTTGCTAGCAACCGGCGCGATACTCACTCCTCCCAGGACAACGCAGAGGAGCTACCTCAGGACGAACCGCGTGACTTAAGTTCGAGAGCGAGCTCGATCAAGTCGCCAAAGCGACAGATCACTCCAGAACCAAAGACCGATAACACGCCGCCGTCAAGCACGACATCCAGTGGGGCGACGACGGCAATGACGACGACGACGACGACGACGACAGCGAAAGATTCCGACGCAACGTTGTCGGAACAAAAAGATCGTCGTCTGAGCGCGGAAAGTGACGAAACGACAAGGGTGAAAGATGAGACGATTGCAAAAAGAGAACCCGCCGAGATGACGCAGGAGGAGAGAAAGCCGACGAACGACGAGGAGCACCAGGATGACGAGGAGGACGACGATGATGAGCCCATGGAGGAGGTCGAGGAGGATGATGATGAGGAGGAAGAGGTGGACGACGCACTGCGCAATCAAGAAGGTGAGCGTCCCGATGATCCCCCCCGTGCCCCGAGCTCGGTCGACAGCCGTCCGACGACAGCCGACGACCTCTCCCACGACTCCTCGACCAACACTTTGCGTCAACTCGAGTCCTTGTCGCAGGGTCGATGCGTGATGCCGTACGCCGAGACGCAGCGGGTGGCTTCGAGGTCTGGCCGCGGCTCTACCAGCCCTATCAGCCTCACGACCCACCAGGAGATCACCATGGACAACTCCTCACATGGCTCTCGTTCATCCAGCGCCTCACCCTCCACAGCGGCCATGGATACGGACAATAGCCTGATTACGTACGCACGTTACGAAAACGGCGGCTTCGTCAGCACCCAGGAAGTGCCGCTCGACCGTGAGAATCCGCGCCGTTGCACCGCCTGTGGCAAGGTCTTTCAGAATCACTTTGGCGTCAAGACCCACTATCAAAATGTTCACCTCAAACTGATGCACCGTTGCAGCGTGGACGGTTGTAACGCGGCCTTCCCTTCGAAACGATCTCGCGATCGCCATTCGGCGAATCTCAATCTACACCGGAAACTGCTATCGACCTCGTCGAGCCCGCCACTCTCTTCCAGTCTGCCGCCGAGTCTGTCGCCGCGCATCGACGATCCGCAGATGAATCCACTGTTGCACAATGAGTTCCTGGCAAGACTCTACGCGGACGCTAGTATCGGCGCATTGGGCGCATACCCCTTACGCACCCGGACTGCCGTCTGCGGTCGACCTGGCGCCCGGATACCACCGCCGCATCCCGCTCCTACTGCCGCCACATCTCGGCGCCACGTTCCCGGGTTTGTCCTCGTTTGCGTCTCACTTGGCTGGCCTAAATGGTCTTACGCATCAGCATCTGAATCATCTGACGAGACTGACTCAGGAACAGGGCAACAGGCATGCGTCCGCCTCGGGTTCGCCCGTGTCCTCGCCGGGCTCGGACGATCGCAAGGAGGAGGCCAGGTGCACCGTACCCGGTTGCGAGCGCGTCTTTGGTTCCCGAGCCGTGCGGGACGCGCACTCCAGAGATCCCCAGGCCCACCGCGATCTGCCGATCCTGTCCACCAGTAGCGGCTCGTGACCGATCTCGTTCTATGGCCGCAGTCACGATTATTATCCCTTACTGTGATGCCAAAATTCTAACTCGGCGATTCGATTCGGCCGATCGATTACCGATGATCTCGTTTTTGACTAGGATCGGCAGATCTAGACGCAGTTTTTCTCATGAATATGGGGTATGCTTTATATGCCCTATTTGAATGTTTCATGAACATACAAAAACATGTAAAAACGTGCAATATCGAGCAGAGTGCGTGCGGAATGATCGACCATCAACGTGGCCGACATGAAGCGGTCTCGTTGATCAACGCCTGTTTAATGAAGTGAACGAACCAGTTCTAATGCGGTAATATCTGCTTGCCAGTTCTTCCCATTTCTCCAATTTATATGTCAGAATGCAACACGCGAGTTTGTTAGGCTAATCTAGTCAATTCGAAAATCTCGATTTCGTGATTCCGATTTTGGAAATGATAGTAAAAGTCGCATATTGAATAACAATTGAATTAAAATCTCGCTCGATTAATTGAACTAATATTGTTCGACATCAAATTTTAAATTCATATTAACTAAATCTTATTTACTAAATCAAATCAAATTAAAAAAATTCATATATTAGATGAATCAATTTTTTTTAATAAAACATTGTTATATATGATTTTTGTTTAAACTGGAATAATTTTGTACTAATATATATTTTTACATTGCACAATACATCTAAATCTCTTTTCACTGTCTGAGCAATTTTAAAAAAAATTACAAAAATAGAATCTACGCAAATATTATACTTTAGTGTTTATAATATGCCAAAGAGAAACAGTTTATTGCTTATTTGTGAAAATTCAGGAATTTTATATCAAAATATATTAAAATTTTTAATTTTTATTGAAAGAGTAAAAATGTATTGTGCAACAGTATTAAAATTATTTTTATTCACAAAAAAAAATTTACTCGATGAGAATCTAAAATTTGAAAACTTTTAGGAAAAGATTTTGTGGGGGATTTTCGATCCTCTCTATAAAGCGAGAGCATGATACAGCGCGCAAATGTATTCGCAATCGCTTTCATACTATTAAATTAAAGAATCTTATTGCAACACTGGCGAAAATTCAGGATTTGACTGGTCGACTAAACTGCCTAACTTTGAAGATCTCCACGTGGCGTGCGATCATTTCTTTCACGAGCGCGACGTCGAGAAACCGACGACGGCGAATCATTGAAACCACGACAGTCGCGTGTCTGTCCGATCGTCGGGATTAACTTAACATAATCAGGGGTAATAAGAGAGGGGGGGGAATAGAGGACGAAGGACGAAAGCATTAGAAGAACGGACTGAGGCGCGGTGTCCCCGGTCCCGAAGGTCTAATTTCATCATCGTTGTGATAACGTAATGTTAGCGAATAACGCCACTATTTAACCAGTAACCAATTACTACCGCTGTATATAATAAACAGACATAGTACCTTTCGGTGTAAACACGTAATTATATCGAGATTAAGTTTTATCAACGCGTGCCCGACGCGCGCGACACGGTTCACGACGATTAGTTTTGTAAATGTGAGAGGAGTAGAAGCCGGTAACACTTGCCGGTAAAGCCGAGGGTAAAAGAAGGAGGAGCAATGTGTGTGACGTCGCGACGACGGCAGCTAGAAGGAAATGCAATCTTAGTTTAAGGAGAGGGAGCACCCTCGAGAACTCGAAGGCTGAAGAGATCGGGCAATCGGTATAGATAAAAAAGTGGATCGACCAGCAAATCAAAGCGACGACGTCTCGCGCTAGGTAAATGAGAATAGATAGATTTTATTTATTGTTCCCTAGAAATCTATTACACACAAAACGCATACGCACATTACACACACACACACACACACACACACATACACAGACACACGATACTGTACCCCAGCGGCCAGTAGCGGGCACTGCCGCAAGTAACTTCCTCCTCTAGGACTTGTAAAATCGCGTTGTCGTTTTTACGTGACGAATCAATTGGCGCCAGAAGTTCGCTCTCGTCGTTAAACGTTGAAAAAAAAAAAAGAATGAAAGAGAAGATCATCCGAAATTTCGGAATCGATTTCGGAATCGAACGGGAGCGCGAACTTCTCCCATGAGATTTTGGTTGTACATATATACTTTATTTTCGTATCTATACATATAAATAAATATATATAAATAAATATATATATATATATATATGTAAAATTTGGCGATGCGCATCGGTGCCGCGATGCGCACAAAATGTTTTTCGGGAACGTACGTGTACGCGTAAGCAGACGCAGAACACGTTTTTCTACGAGCCTTCGATCCTACGTTTTGCATTTCCACCTCCCGAGAGAGCGAGCGAAGTTCCCTCTTCTCCCGCGACACACACGACGAAACCCTACTACTATTATGCATTAAGGGCGAAACGAGATTTACAATTGTAATTATGTATAAATCGAATGCTACGATGTATATTATAGATCGATTATAAAGAACACACTCATCATTATGAAAATAAATACTTATCAAAATTAATCTCGGCTAATACATGCATCTTCCCTTCTTTCATTTTCATTCTACTGTCACTTCCGAGACAACAATGTTACGTCCGAAACGCAAGTTTCGTACATATATGGAATCATTATGCATTTATAAAAAAATATATAAATTTAACATTCTTTTATTTAAAAATACGTACGATTGCGAGGAGGAGTTTGTTAAAAATATAACGCTTGAGTGAACGGTCTAGATTTACATCTCTGTTTTCGCCTTGACGAAAGACCGGATAACACTTCATTGGACTTTCGAGACGTCGACAGGTACAGATACGTTCGCGCGTGCAAAAATAAAAAAAAAAAGGAGAAAAAAAAGAAACTTCACCACGCCCACGCGCTCTAACGTAGGTCGACCTCGTTTTCGCGGAAAGAAGATCCTTCCTTTGCCAGCGATGCCGGATCGTTTATCAGAGGATCTCGCGGGCGTGCACGTGCACGCCTACTAATCCGCGGGCCTCAGGAAGGAGGGAATCTCCCCGACGAAAGGGTTGTTCTCGGTCTCAACTCTGAGGAGAATCACACTCGCAATACAACGATGGAACCCGAGTTCGAAAGATTTTATGGACAGTCTAACATTTAAGTCCGCTACGAATTTTACGACTATGCATATGAATTATATATATATATATATATATATATATATATTATATATATATAATAAATATATATATATATAT